GTGTGTGTGTGTGCCTGTGTGTGTGTGTGTGTGCCTGTGTGTGTGTGTGTGTGTGAGGTGTGTGTGTGTGTGTGTGTGTGTGTGTGTGTGTGTGTGTGTGTGTGTGGTGGGGGGGTAAACACGTTACACGCTGGGACACTTTCACTTGATTAAACCAGCGGTTGGTGACAACGACCATCTATCTGTCTCATCACTCCTTCACAACAAAAGCCTTTTGACCCAGCACGCTCAGCGGCAGATGGCCCCCCCACCACCACCACCTCCCACCCTCCCTCTTCCTTCTGCCTCCCTCTCCTTCCTTATCTACTCCACCCCCCCCCCAAATCCATGTCCCTAACAAAGACGGGGGTGGGCTCCATTTTAAGACCACGGGGACAGCTTTCCCCCCAAAATCACTTCCTGTTAATTAATCTAACCCCCCAGCCCCAGTCACCCCCCCCTCTGTCAGAGATGGCAGGAAGAGGTCGTGACCCCGTCCACAGATCAATGATGAGTTTTCTGGGAGATTTACGCCGCCGTGCGTGCAGCTGCAGACGACGGCGCGGCTGTAAACCCGCCGACGTCCTAATCACCTCCATGTGGAATAATCTGCCGCCATCAGCCGACCGTCTGCGGCCGCCACCGAGGTTCGGGTCAGAGGGACCGACAGCGAGTTTTTGATGGAGGAGACACGAACGCGTTCTCTTAAAGTCATCGTAGATCACCGGTTCCCAACCTTTGTCCCGAAGAAGATTCCTTTATAGATTTTTTCCTGTTTAGGGGCCGGTGCTATTTTTAGATTTCACCCCTTGAAATCAAGAAGGCTTTGCGACCTCATCATGAAGCTTTGGCGACCCCGAGTGCAGGTCCCGACCCCCAGGTTGGGAACCTCTGCACTAGGGACATAACCCACCAATCTAATGTCTAGATATTTCAGACCCTGTATTTTATTTCGGTTTTATTGGTGAAAACATTATTGAATTATATCTGATTGGATTTATTTTAGAGGTTTAAGCCAAAATCGTTCAGATTGACTGGATCAGGAAAACAATACATCAATACATTAAACCAGCAGTTTTGTTCCTAAACGCAACCAAACCATCTTGATTTGCTTTTTTGTGGCAAGTCAGATACCGCAACTCTCGTGTCTGTAAGACAAATACAAAACTTAGCTTAGCATAAGGACTGAAAACAGGAAACAGCCAGTCTGGTTCTGTCTAAAGGCAACGAAATCTGCCTACAAGCACCTCGAAATTTCACTAATTAAAACAGAGCAAATAAAATTATTATGTGTGTACAATAGAGAAAATAGTTAAAGCTGCAGTAACAATATTATTTGTCATATTTGATGAAACTTTCATTATATCCTGACAGTCGAACATGAAACAGATAATATGTAAAAAAAAATCAGGTTCCTCCTGCTGCTCCTAACGGCCTTTACAAGAATCCACCGGCTATGAATCATCCAAGTGAAGCTAACCCTGAAGTGTTTTAAACCTGCATTCTCTGTAACAACCAGCAGGGGGCGCTCCACTGGTTGCAATATAAACTGATACCATTTAGTCTTATAGAGAAATGAGTCGACTTCTCAGTTGATTTATGAGCTCAGTAAACAGTTTCCTGATGAGTTTCTGGTCTCAGTCTCTAGTTTCAGTCTTCTTCCATACAGCATGATGTTCATTTAGTAACTGATGGTCCCATTTAGAGTAAAACAGACCATAAAGCAGGGTATGCTTTAGGGCGGGGCTACCTTGTGATTGACAGCTCATTCTCAGTGAGTCCGTCCAGCTCAACCAAACTCAGATCAAACTGTCAAACAGTGCTGATCAGATATGGATCCAGATTCTGTTGTTGACTATTCACAAACACATTTTACTGTTTATCTGGAATACCAGATCCTGTGTGAGCAGGAGAGCAGCCAATGAGAGCACCTCAACTCGCTTTACGTGACCTCCGCTGGCTCTGACAAACCGTCACGGTGGCGACCATAACGCCAAACTGGAGGCTCCAGAATAAATGTTTCTATAACAAGTGTTATCAGGATTAGCTTTTTATTAGCCGCTACAGTGGAAACACCACCATCATTTTCCCTCCTCACTATGTTTATATGAATGTTTATGTGTGAGTAGGTGTGTGCACTTAAGCTGGTGACGCACAATTCTATCGCAGCAGATGAAGAGGGAGATATAAATATTGTAGGAACGGGCCACAGGATGCGCCCTTCGCTTTTCAAGACATTTCTGCAAAAAGAAGCTTAGCCTGCAGTCTATTTCTGCATTAGTCAGCTCTATTGTGGCTGTATTGCCAACAGAGCAGGATAATGCAGGCACACACACACTCTCTCTCTCTCTCTCAACACACACACACACACACACACACACACACACACACACACACAGTTCACTCACACACTTCAAGCCACAGAAGCCAAACGAGAGGACATCTCTTCTGACAGATAAAGACTGAATCACTGAGACCAAACGAGGACAGATTTGTCCCAAACTTCATGTGAGGAAAGTTTAAAGAAACGTCCTTTAAATGTGTATAAACATTACGGCGCATTAATCCCCAGAATGCACAGAGCGCTCAGCTGATTACAATATATTCTCCATCAGTGGAAAACTGATGAGGTTCAGTGTTTAAAATGGACTCTTTGTGTTCGCCGTGAGCTCCACATGTGCAGAGGTGTTTCTAATTAACACTCAAAGGCTCGTTTCCAGCAAATTAGATCTTGTTTGAAAATTCTTTGTCAGTAATTTAATTTCAGTGCTGATTCATTTAGGGACGTAAACACAGAGCGGCATTCAGAGTGTCGCTGGAACAAGATTGGACCAGCACAGAAAAACATTTACAGACTCAAAAAAAACGTCTCAGTACATTTATTTTCCACCTGTTTCTAATATCGAACTACGGAAGCCCCGAGAGGCAAAACAGGAAAAAATATTCTGGTGACTTTTATGTGTTTATAAGACTTAAAGGTCCAGTGTGTAACTTTGAGCAGGATCTTCTGTCAGACATGTAATATAATATTCATTATACAGTATATTTTCACTAGTGTAAAATATATTCCTGTAACTTC